TGTAGTTTTGTGACACTTGTTCATTGAAATGTCACTAGAGCCTTTAATGTTTGTCATTTTGTGGCATTTTTCAAAATCGTGCCACTAAATATCATTTTTATGTCATTTTCTAAAAATATGCCATTAGTGTAGTGCCACTAAAGTATGTTTTTGTTGTAGTTTTGTGACATTTGTTCATTGAAATGTCACTGGAGCCTTTTATGTTTGTCGTTTTGTGGCATTTTTCAAAAACGTGCCATTAAATATCATTTTTTATGGCATTTTCTAAAAATGTGCCACTAGTGTAGTGCCACTAAAGTATATTTTTGTTGTAGTGGGACAATAAAATTTGTACCCTTTAGACTTGTCTAGATAACCAATGAAATATCCAGATATTGTTCTTGAGTCCAACTTTTTCTCTTGTGGGTTGAAGATTCTTGCCTCTGCTGGATAACCCCAAATATGTAAGTGTCTCAAACTAGGTTTCTTACTAGTCCACGACTCAAAAGGAGTTGTTGGGACCGCCTTACTAGGAACCTTATTTAAGATATACATTGCAGTCTTTAAAGCTTCACCCCACATTGAAATAGGTACAATTGAGTAACTTAACATATTCCTAACCATATTTTTAAGTGTACGATTACGCCTTTCAGCAACTCCATTTTCCTGTGGCGTACCAAGCATTGTATATTGAGCACAAATGCCTTTCTTTTCTAAGAATTTGGCAAATAGGCCAGGATTTTGGCCTGACTCATCATATTTACCATAATATTCACCACCCCTGTCTGATCTCACTATTTTAACCTTTTTATCTAATTGTCTCTCGACTTCAGTTATGTACACCTCAAGGATGTCAACAGCCTGAGACTTTTCATGAATTAGATACACATATCCATAATGTGAGAAGTCATCTATAAATGTGATAAAATATTTTTCACCACTAAGACATGGGATGTTTAGTGACCCGCAAATATCTGTATGAATTATCTCAAGAAGCTCATTACTTCTTGTGGCACCTTTCTTGGTGTGTTTGGTTTTCTTTCCTTTAATGCAATCCACACATATCTGAAAATCAGTGAAGTCTAGGTTTTCCAAAATCCCATTCTTCACCAAGTTTTCAATTCTATTTCTAAAGATATGCCCCAACCGTCTATGCCACAAGATTGAGGATTTTTCATTAATTAGACCACGTTTTAAACCAATATTTGAATGTAGAGTTACTAATGATTGTACAAACTCATGATTTAAGGTAATTTTATATAAACCATCACATAAATTACCAGAACCAATCACTATAAAACATCAAATTGAGTTTTCCACAATTAAACAAAACTAAATATCCAACACGATCTAATTTGGATAACGAAATTAAATTCCTAGAAATTGAAGGAACATAAAAAGTGTCTTCTAGATCCATATGATGAACCATCTCGAAGATCAGTCAATAGGTTCCTACAGCTACGACTTCAGTTTTGAGACGGTTCCCCATATAGACAAATCTTTTACTTTCCTTCGGTTTCTTGGTTGAGAGGTATCCCTGCATGTCATTTGTAATGTGGGTTGTGGCCCTAGAGTCAATCCACCACGTATTAGAAGGTACTTCAGCAAGATTTGATTCATAACAAACAAAAGAAAATTTCTTACCTTTTTTTTTTTCTTTTATAACTCCATGAGTTACAACCAATGCAGTTTGACGTCCTTCCCCCCTCAACCCCACTTCCTCCTGAACACACATATTAGTCAGCTCATTCAAACTCTACTTATCTTTATTGGTGTTATAGTGGATTTTGAATGCGCCGAACTGTGATGAAAGTGAGTTGAGAATAAACTGCACGAGGAACGTTTCATCAACTTGCATCCCTAAAGTTTTAAGTTTTGCAGCTTTGTCGCCATATTGAGGATGCGATCCTAAACTCCTCGCTGGCCATTATATTTCATTGTTGTCAATTCAACAATAATAGTGCCAGCAAGTGGCTTGTCGATCTTCAACAGCCTTTAACCAAATTTTACTTTAAGCGTTAGGGTAACGTCACTAAAGACTCCTTTGGTCAATAACTAAGTAAGATCCCAGGAATGTCAGATGAGTCAATATAGTCTCCCTGCTAAGTCTAACCACCTTAGATAGCAAGCTATCTTTTTGACATATCTTAAGAGGTACTAAGACAAGATCTCATAAGTAATGCGGAAAAAGGCATAAACAATACATATTAAAGCTTTGAGAATTATGATGAACTACTGATATTACATAAGTCTTTCCTTTGGGCAAAACTTAGGTATATCTATTGTCCACTCGTCAAGCATCACTTATGTAGATCTAAAGTAATTTATGCAATTTTTCAACTAGTCATGTTACTTTTGGGTATTCAATTCTAATCTGTCAAATTACATAAGGTACATTATCCTTCCCAGTTCATAATTATTTGAAAATGACTCTCCTTTGGGCTAATCTCAATCTCCTAATTATAACTGCAATTAAGAATATTATCAACCTTAATGTTACCCTTTTAACAATTCTTTTATGTAGTTCTATATTTATAAGTTTTAAAAATCTAGGCCACTTTGGCAGCTACTAAATTAGTAAACCTTATGAATACGGAACTAACCAACAATATTCTCTATTCATTAATTTGAGTTATTTAATTATCATTAATTCAATCACTATTTTAATGAAATCACTATTTATGATTTCTAGAATTTCTTTTATGTGATTGCAATTACCAATATGATAATAATAATAACTCTAGATAAACATGAATATATATATATATATATATAAATCAAAATATGGAATATGATAATCATGAATATCTCATATAATGGTTAATAAGAATTACACCTAATATGAATTAACCACTTCAATATTTAATATTTAATGTCATAAAATTATATCATGATATCAATTTTAAATCATGAAAATATATAAATATTTAACAATAATAGACAATAAGTGTGCATAATTAAACAAAGCAAAAACATAATCCTCTAATGTGATACAATCAAATAAATATGTTTATTTAATAGTCCGAACGATTCAGCAACATTCTAAAATTGCTTTTAATCTATGCACTTTATCATAACGGCAAGCAATACACTTAATTCAATAACATTTTATGATGATTATAAAGATTATTATCTCTAAAATTAATAATAACCCGAAGCATGCATATATACATATAATTGAGACATAAAAAAACGAAGCATGCATAACCACGACGCAAGGCTTTATAAAACTAGGTCACGTTTAAATCATATTACAAACTGACCCATTTTTAATTTGATCGACCCAATTTTAAATCTTTTAAGTTTTAGCCACGTAAAATTATAATAGCCGCTTTAAAAATTAATATGATTATTTTAGCCAAAACTTTACATCCCAAATATGATTTAAAAATTAATGTCAATAATAAAAAAAAAACAAATGTACCGTTTTATAAATAATTATAATAATAATATTCATAAATATATTATTATTCCAAGGTGTATTGATTCAAAAAACTGAGGCTCTGATACCACATGTAAGATTTAATAATATATGTAACCATAATAATAATGCGGAATTACACTTAACAGGATCTTGAATTCAATACAACTCAAGAATAAAACGAACATACCTTTATCAGCTATTGAATTAGAGAAGTTGAGAAAATACCCCTTAGAGTTGAACCTTTAATTCTTGGCTCACCTTCTTCTCTCTGTCTCTCTCAATTAGGATGACTATAACACTTAGAGTGATGGAAAAATACTTATGATATGAAAGGGGAGTCACCCATCCTTATATAGAGGAGAGAAGAGGGCCAGATAAACTCTATCAGAAGAATTCCTAATCCATCAAGGTTTCCTTCTTATCTTAGAAGAGTGATTATATTAAAATTCTAATTACTGACCTTTATATATAATATTGGCTTTATCTAATTGTGGAGTCCAAATAAAATAAAACATGTAAAAATATGTAGGCTATTGGGCCACACTAGAAAATAAATAAAAAAATTACTATGTAGTCCTATGTAGTGGATCTATTTCCCTTCTAATCCCAATATATTTTTAATAGATTAATAGGTCCACAGTTTTTAAGTTTTATACCCAGAGGTCCCGTTTTTTATTTTCATATTTTGTAAATGACTGTATTACCCTTTGTTTTGAGATCTATATATACGCGAAAAATCAAATTTTTGCTCCGTTCAAAAAAGAAAATCAAATCTTAGTCTCTGCGATCTCGATCTCTCTTCGTTATGGCGATCTCATTATGCTGTGTGGTCAATCTCATTGTGCTGTGAGGTGGATCTGGTTGTACGATCTGAATCTCTGTGTACAGGCGCTCTCTCTCTCTCTCTCTCTCTCTCTCTCTCTTTGTGTATCTGGTTTGTATCTGTCGATACATATATGTATGTGTATGTATGTATCTGTCGATACATACATATACATATATATATCTCTGTGTGTGTATACATATATGTATGCATATATAGATAAGCAAATTTGCGTGATATCTGGTTTGTGTTTGGCAATGTTGTTTTAGTTCTTTGTTTTGTGATAAATTTTGTTTGTTTGATATTTATTTTATTTGATTTTTGTATGTGATATAGTGTAATGATTTTGATTTTGTTGATTTTGTTTGTTGTATAGTGTAATGTGTTTTGAAGTTGTAGTTTGAAATTATGAATTCTGGTGTTTTGATACTGATATGTTGTAAGTGTATAACTTTGTAGTTTGGAATTGTGAATAGTGTAGTGTTGGTACTGATATGTTGTAACTGTATAATTTTGCAGTTTGGAATCTGTGAACAATTGTTTGTTAGTTTGTGATTTTGTAGTATGGAGGGGTGTTTCATGTTAATGTGCAAATACAGTAATTGTTGTGCTGCTATTAAGATTAGTGAGGGATGTAGTTATGATGAAGTTGTTGAGAAAATATGTGCGAAGTTCAAGGAGTTGAGTGTTGGTAACTTTTGTTTGTTTTTCTTTATTGCTGGATATTCTAATTGTATTATTGAATGTGATGATGATTTGTGGAATATGCTGTCAATGGTAGGTGGTAGTGGTTGTCATGTTGTTGATGTTGTTGTGGGTGATAAGAGAATTGTGGAGGTTGATAATGGTAATTCTTGTAGGATGGATTTTGTAATTGGTGAGAGTTCTTTGGTTAACGATTGTGATGATTTTGGTGGTTTGTTGCCTAGTTTTTATCCAGAACCAGAGAGAGTTTTGTTGTCTGCTAGGTGGAAGGGGATTATACATAGTGTTGGTCAAGAATTTGAAGGTGGAGTGCCAGCGTTCCGTATTGCATTGGCTAAGTATGCAGTTGAGTGTGGTTTTGCAGTGAATTATTTGAAGAACGATGCAACAAGAGTAACTGCTGAATGTATGATGAAGTCATCTACAGGTTGTAAATGGTTTGTGCATGGAAGGGTGTTGATGAATTCCGGTATTTTTTTTATAATGAAGTTGGATAATGTGTATACTTATGGGGTTGTGGCTCGTAGATCTTGTAGCAAAATGGTTGGTTCTAGACTTGTGTCTGATATTGTGCAAAATGATATTAGTGATAATCCGTTGACTCGTCCTATTGAAATTAAAAAAAAGTTGAAGAAGCAATATGGTATAAATGTTTCTTATCGGGTTGCATGGTTAGGAGTTGATAAGGCAAGAGGTGGGTTGTTTGGTGATTTTGCAACTTCTTTTGACCAACTTCGATGGTACCTTGAGACGGCTATGAGAACGAATCCGGGAAGTGTGTTTGAATTAGATGTGGATGAAAGTAGTGGGTGTTTTCGGAGGTTGTTTGTGGCATTTCATGGATGTTTGTATGGCTTTCAATTTTGTCGTCCGTTGTTGTTTGTTGATGCTACATTCTTGAAGGGGCGTTACAAGGGGCATTTGCTTGCAGCAACATCAAAGGATGGTAATCAAGGTATGTATTTATTTGCAGTTAGTATAGGTTTGGTTTGTCAGTGTGTTATTGTATTACGAGTCTGTTAATTTTTGCAGTTTGATGTTATGTTGTTTGCAGGTCTGTTTCCTTTGGCTTTTGCGATTGTTGACGCTGAAAATCAAGATAATTGGATGTGGTTCTTAAGTCAGTTGTTAAAGGGTGTTGGTTCAGGCCGGAGATTGACCTTTGTGTCGGACCGTCAACATGGATTGCTAGACGCTCTTTAAGTGGTTTTTCCCAATGCACATCATGCATATTGCTTGAATCATTTGAAGAGAAATTTGATTGACAAATTGGTGGGACTTCGTACTAGCTATAAACTGAGTTTGATGAAAACATTAGTTAAATGTGCTTATGCGCCAACGGTTGCTTCTTTCCAACATTATATGTAGAAATTGAGGCGTATTGCTAGGAATGGTAGAGTTGATGGTTTGCAAAATGATAAGTGGGCGAATGCATTTTTTAGAGGGA